CAAAATTTCAGAATGACTGATTTAGGTAAACTAAACTGGTTTCTTGGAATGTCATTTGTTTCTGGTAAAGATAACATTAAGGTGAGCCAAACTAAATATGTAGAGAAGATTTTGGATAGGTTTAACATGTCACATTGTTATGCAAGAAATATACCATGTGATCCAAGTATTGTTAACACCTCAACAGTAGAATCTGATGAGTTGGCTAATGCTACTCTTTACAGAGAAATAGTAGGTAGTCTCATATATATTATGACAGGTACTAGACCAGATTTGTGCTATGTGGTCACTAAACTTTCACAGTATATGTCCAAACCTACTAAAGCTCAGTTAAGTGCTGCTAAGAATGTGCTCAAATATTTGAAAGGTACAATGATGAATGGTCTTACATTCAAAAAGTCAAATGAATCAGTTCAACGTAGTGCCACGTAGATTCTCCTGAATACATAGAGTTAAGCGCATCAACTCTGTGTTGTACTGATCCCCACAGAAAATCATATATGCATTGACACGTCAAACTTGCTTAATACACGCATGGAAGATGAGTTCTCCCACTACGCCAACAATATATATATATATATATATATATATATATATATAATATATATATATATATATATGTCCTTGACTGGATGTGGCACCTTGCCGAGGGTGAGAGGCCAGGCGAGGATCGAGGATGACTCAAGCTCTGCCAAGCAAGGAGCAGCGAGTCTTCGTCCTCGATGCCAACCACGTCCGTCGATGTTGGAAAGGTCGAGTCGGACATGCTAGGCTTTGGCCACACCCGCCCTTACCAACCCATCGTGGTAGGGTATGGCCTTTTCTTCTCCCTACGATGCAAATCATACACCAATCACCGGCCGCGGCTGTTGGGCCAACCGCTGAGAGAGAGTGAAAGGAAGAAAAAAAAATAGATAGAGAGATAGAAATAAAGAGAGAAAGAGAGATAATCACCGAGAGAAAGAGAAAGAGAGAGGGGGAGAAAGAAGGAGAAGGGAGAGGCAGAGACAGAGAAAGGTAGGGAGAGAGAGGGGGGAGGAGGAGGAGAGAAACAGAGCGGGGGAAGGTGAAAAAAGAGTCACAAATATATATATATATATATATATATATATATATATAGAGAGAGAGAGAGAGAGAGAGAGAGAGAGAGAGAAAATAAGAAAGAGAGAGAAAAGAGAAAGAAAGGAAAGAGAGAGAGAGAGAGGCAAAAAAGTAAGAAAGACAGGAATAAAAAGAGACAGCGGAGGGAGGGCGAGGGAGAGGAGGTTGGGAGAAGGGATGAAGGAAGAGCAAGAGAGAGAGTGAGAAAATGAGAGGGGGAGAAATAGTAAGAAAGCGAGAGAGGGAGGAGGGGAGGAGGAGAAATAGAGAAAGGGAGTGAGAGAGAGTGTGCATCAGAAAGGTAGTGAGTGAGTGAGAAAGGAAGAAAAAAGAAAAAGAGATTGACGCAGAGAAAGAGAAATAAAGAGATAGAGAGTATAAGAAAGAGAAAGAGAGAGACGAGCGAGAGAAAGATATAGGGAGACAGGGGATGAGGGTATTGAGAGAGTGAGTGAAAGAAAGATGGAGAGAGAATAAGAGGGGGTGGGATAGATAGCGAATAAAAAAGAGGGGGGAGGGAGAGATAAGGAGAGGAAGTGAGTGAAATGGTGAGTGGGAGAGAAGGAGAAAGAGAGAGTGAAAGGAAGAAAAAAATAGATAGATGGAGAGATAGAAATAAAAAGAGAAAAGAGGGATGAAGGGAAAGGAGAGAAAACAAAGGAAGAGATAGAGAGAGAAAAGAAGGGGCGGCAGAGGCAGAAAGAGGTAGTGAGAGAGTGAGTGAGTGAGAGAGAGAAGTAGAGAGAAAGATAGAGTGAAGGAGGGATGGAAGGAACGAGAGTCGCAAAGAGAGAGAGAGAGAGAGAGAAAAGAGAGCTACAGATAAAGAAAGAGAGACTGAAAGAAAGAAGATAAAAATAAAGAGAGAGAGAGAGTCCCGCACACACACACACACACACAGAGAGAGAGAGAGAGAGAAAGGAGGAGGGAGAGAGAGAGAGAAGGACAGAGGGGGTAGAGCGGGGGAGGGGTAGGAGAGAGAAAGAGAGAGAGGGAGAGTCACAAATAGAGAGAGAGAGAGACAAAAAAGAAAGAAAGACAGGAGAGGTTGGGAGAAGGAAGGGAGAGAGAGCAAGAGTGAGTGAGAAAATTAGTGGGGGGAAAATAGATAGTGAGAAAGCGAGAGAGAGGTGGGGGGGGGGTAGATAGAGAAAGGGAGTGAGACAGAGAGAGTGTATCAGAAAGGGAGTGAGTGAGCGAGTGAAAGAAAGAAAAAAAGAGAATGACGAAGAGGAAGAGAAATAAAGAGACAGAATATAAGAAACAGAAAGAGAGAAAAAGAGGGAGAGAGAGAATAATAATAATAAAGAGAAAGAGGGAGAGAAAATTAATAAAGAGAAAGAGAGAAAAAGGGAGGGGGAGATAAAGAGAACGAGAGACAAAATGAGTAACAGAGGGAGAGAGAGAGAGAACCTGAGAGAGGGAGGGGAAGAGACAGGGAGAGAAAGGGAGTGAGAGAGAGAGGGTGTGTGTGTGTGTGTGTGCGATGAGATATAAACACGTATGTATGATTCGTTTCTTTAATCTGGAAAGCACTTTATCTTGTGCTAAATCCTGATAATGGTTTGTCGCTTTCAAGATCCCACAAGCCATGGCGTTTCTAGCTCAAAATTTAATCTTACACATGTGCAGAACGAATTTGTATTCATACGTAACGACATCAACCCCATAGAAAAGATGGAGTTGATTTGCCATCAATGTTTATCATATATAAATAAAATAAATTCCGACATTCTCATGTTAAAAATATATATGAAAATTCAACATGTATTTTTGTGACGTCATCAAAATAAACAGACGCCATGACACCTCCTCGAGTTGCTGCTGATCTAGCCTTTCCCCCGCAGTCACTCACGAGAAAACTCTCCCGCAAATATAAACTGATGTCGCAGCTTTTGTTTTACACCTTTAGTTCAGTTGCTTATAAAATTAAAAGGGTATTTGAAGCCATCTCTATGAATTTATTTGTAGAGGCACAAATACATATCTTCATGATATAATATTACCGTATATATATATATAATATATATATATATATATATATATATATATATAATATAATATATATATATATATATATATATATATATATATATATATATATATATATATGATATTTCTCTCTCTCTCTCTCTCTGTAGCAAACGTCTCGTTATCAAAATTAGTGTGTGATGTCAAACGCAATAGATGGTGGTTGCTAATTGCCACACTACACAAGTACCCACTCGTCTATGGAAAGAGCAGATTTGTTGATGATCGCATTGACTCGTGCGTCTGGCAGTGCGTCTTACATCTGTGCAAGTACTGTGGATTTGGAAAAAAAAAAACTTTAATCCGGATTTAACTTATCTCACGCGTACAGAAGACGCCCTTTAGTTCAAATGAAAATCAGGAAAAAAAAACTGTGTATTTATCCTTAGCATCTATAACATTTTTGACTTTCGTGTCTGGTATTAATGGGTAATTCTTCAGCTCTGGCAACAGAAAATGATAGGAAAGGTACCCATTGCAAACAGTAAATCCGTCACATACTCATTTCCTGAACAAAAGTGAAAACAACATATAATTAATGAAATTATGAGTTAAACCCCGACAATTGGACTGAAGCAACCTCTCTCCCCAAGAAGGCTCCAGCATGTAGAAAAGGTATGAATGAGACTGGATATCTTCGCAATGCAAGAGTTGTATTTGACCGGTTTCGATTACGTCTTCATCATAAATACATATATGTATGTATGTATTTCTGGTGAAGACGTAATCGAAACCGGTCAAATACACCTCTTGTATTGCGAAGATATCCAGTCTCACTCATACCTTTTCTACATTTGTCAACATGGATACGTTTCAAGGCTCCAGCAATCAGGACTCGCACTTAGGACACAGAGAGTCCCGCTCAGCCGGTCCAGAGGCACTTGTCCTAAACCCGGGCTCTTCTTTTAGTGTTCCAGTGTGTTTCTTGATACATTTGGCCAAGCGGTCAGCCAAACCCTACGGAATCACTCTATGACAACCCTAAATACGTGGATTTTGTCGCATACAACTGGCTCCACAAGTGCAACGAACACCCAAAGTGACTTCACCTGATCTGGCCATTTCATTTCGGCAAAAATTATCATTATCTTTGCCTATTAAATCCAATACTCTTATCATTATCATTGTCAATATGATTATTATTTTATGAAAATGATAATAATGATAAAATCCGAAAATCAAAGGAGACTAAACAGGCGCAATATGTAGGCCTAGTAACTGACGTTGGTAAATACTTGTGAAGCCATCTACATGTAAATCTTCTGGATTCTTTTGTCCAAATGTTCTTGAAAACAAATTACAAGTGAGCTTTATTGAGACTAAACACCACACACGTCTAAGTACAAAATCTGCAGGCTCGTGCGCTCTCCGGATAGGCGGAAAAAATGGCGTTGCTCCGTTGGCGGTGCTGAGACTACCGCAAACCTTCCCCACACTACACGCACAAATACTGACTCTGCACTGCCACTTGTCACTGCACTAGAACACTAAGATCTACGCGGAGAATTCGAGATTAGGAGGCGCGAACCAAGGTCTATATAAGTACTTATATAGACCTTGGAAGAAACAATGGTTGCCAGCCACTGAAGGGAGTGCCTGGCACCCTGGCTGACCAACAGGCGTTGGGAAGATTTTTTAATATAACACAGTAAGACTTTATCGGAAATTTAGGGTATAGCACGATTATACATTTTTAAACACCGATTGATACAAAAAACAATAATAATGATAATAATAAAATAAAAAAAAACTTTTTACACATATTAAGTAATCATAAAATTATATTGTTATATTGCGTCACGAATTTAAGATATGACACAAAACAAGTGCTTTTCAGTACATACGTTGGGTAAAATAATATCCGCTTACACCTTGGGCCTCTAACACATTTATTCGTTCTAACAATTAAACACTGAGCGTGCTCGTTTCCATGTCATCAATGGAATACAAAGAATAATTCATTGCAAATTCATGTTCATTTCTATCTATCTCTCTCAGTCGGTCCATGCTTATTCTTTTTATTTATCGTTTTCTCTCTTAGTCACTCCCTTCAGACGAATGTATGGCAGAGCTCAGGTGAAGGCCACCTTCTTGATCCAGCGGAGGTAAGGTGCCTGACGGAGGTTGGCGTAAAGACCCGGGAACTCCTGAAGGCCGCAGCCATAGCCACTGGACACGACGCCGGCCAGGACGTACCTCTTGCGCTCGTCCAGGTACACCAAGGGCCCGCCGGAATCGCCCTGTCAACGGATAGATGGATAGATAGACGGAGAGACACACAGGCAACCAAAATTGCAGGTAGATACACACACACACACACACGCGCGCGCGCGCTCGTGTTTGCCAGTCTGTGTGTGGTGTTGTGTTTCTTCTCTTCTCTCTCTCTCTCTCTCTCTCTCTCTCTCCTCTCTCTCTCTCTGCGAACCACAAAATCAAGCAGGACTTTTGCCAACACGAAGGAAGAGGCAGCATCCCAGAGACCGACCTGGCAGGCGTCCTTGCCCCCCTGGGGGTCCCCGGCGCACAGGGTCTCGTTGCCGATCCCCCTGGGCCAGTATCGCGAGTACTGGGGGAGGGTCGAGTAGCTCTGGTCGCAGCGGGAGGGGGGGAACGCCGTCAGCGCCACCTCCTGCAGCACCGTGCTTCCGGAGCCCCCTGGGGAATGGAGGAAGGATCATGTGTAGGAATGTGTGAATGGATGTGTGTGTTTGTGTGAGAGAGTGAGTAAGTGAATGTGTGAGTGAATGAGTGAGCGAGTGAGTGTGTAAGTGTGTGAGTGCTCGATTGACTGACTGACTACTAATTGACTGTCTGATTATGCGTATGTTTGTGTGATCTAAGTCCGTGTGCATGCATATAGGCGTATACATGTGACTGGAATCAGAGAACAGTGAGTTTTTAAAAATCAATATGAATGAAAAATCACAACGAAAAGCATGAAATCCAGACACGACAGCCAGAGGCCCCACCGTGCTCGGTCGCCCCCCAGCCCGTGATAACGAGGGCCCCCCCCGTGAGGTCCCTCTCCGCCTCGCGACCCCAGGGGAGACACACGGGGTTGATGTGGCTCTGTTGAGAGAAAAAAAAAACAGATGTGAAAGGTCTTTGGATGGGGAGAGGTCAATCTTCTTTAAAACCTTGGATCCGAAAGGTCTTTGGATGGGGAGAGGTCAATCTTCTTTAAAAAATAGGGGAGGTCAATTGGATTTTTTTTTACACTAAAGGCTTTTAAAGTTTTTTTTTTTTGTGATTCTACAGAATACTCATTATGAACGTAGAGAGATGTGGTTATTGTGATTAAAGACATTATTCAAAGAAGAGGGATCCTTTCATGAGTGATGCCATAAACAATGCTTATTTGTTGTGAATGATGATACGAAAGACGAAGAAATCTGTTATTCTTAGAAAGGATAACATGTGCACATTGAAGAGTTTCAGATTTCTCTTTTTGGGGGATAACAAAAATCAAACAAACAAAAAAATATAGAATGAAAAAAAAGAAAAGAAAAAGCTATAACGCTAAAAACACGTCTTAGCACCAAACCTATTGTACCATCAACTACAACCTAACCGAAACTTAACCAACAACATAAATAAATAAAAAATAAAATGAAATAAAAAATAATAAATAAGTAACGAAAAAGAAGAAAGACACAACACAACAACGCGATCCCCGAACCATGCATCCAACAACGACACCTTACGTTGAACACGACCCTCCGCCCCAGCTTTATCAGCGCCAGGTCGTGGTAGGACTCGGGGCGCAGGTACTCAGGGTGCAGGACGACCTCGCCCACCAGGAAGTCCTCGTGCCTGTCGCCGTCGCTGCTCGTGCTGTAGTCGTGTTCGCCGAGACGGACTACTGACGCTGACCTGGTGGCGTTGACGATAGATAAGAAATAGATAGAGACGGTGGGGGAGAGGGAGGGAGAGAGAGGAAGTGTGTGTGTGTGTGTGTGTGTGTGGTGTGTGTGAGAGAGAGCGAGAAGAGAGATAAGTGGGGGAGAGGGAGAGAAAGAGAGAGATGAGATACATCTCTTCACGTAAATTACATAATTGTCACAGAAGACAAACCGATCTTGTATTTACTATACATACATAATACAGATCATGGATGTACCTACCTGTTATCTTCGAACAAGTAACTTATGCATAACAAAATTGTGCTCGAAAAATTTAATACAAATTACACACACACAAAAAAAAGAATTATGAATAAGAAATATGGCAAAAAGCAGATGAAACCCCTTAAAAAAAACTAAGTACAAAAAAAAAAAAAAACAGTTGTCAGTAAAAAAAATAAATAAATAAATAAGATATAAAAAAACTGACTCGCCTCCTCTGGAAGCAGTGGGCGGCGGTCAGAATCCACAGGGCGTTGATGAGGGATCCGTCGCAGAACCAGTCAGTGGTCCCTCTCGAGTCCTCCCCAACGAGCGCCTGTCAAACCATCGGAATTGCTGGTTATTCTGTTAAAATAGTCTTGTAAAATGCGTTTGAGGAACTACATAAAATTGCTGGTTTCCTATTTAGTCGCCTTGTATGAGGAACTACTTAAAATTGCTGGTTCCTCTATTAAATCGTCTTGTATGAGGAACTACTTAAAATTGCTGGTTTCTATTAAATCGCCTTGTATGAGGAACTACTTAAAATTGCTGGTTCCTCTATTAAATCGTCTTGTATGAGGAACTACTTAAAATTGCTGGTTTCCTATTAAATCGTCTTGTATGAGGAATTACTCAAAAGGCGTCCGCTGTTTTGCTTAATTAGCTTCCTGGATATTTCAGCTAGAACCATGTTCAAGCGATGTAGTTTGCTTGACGAAGCACTGATCATCTTTAAAATATTAAAATCTTGACTTGTCTGGTGATTCTGGCAGCGTGAATATGCCACTTACTGTCTGCCTCAAGCCAATTAATAAATGAATCAATCAACAAGTAGAAATAAACAAATAAAATACGATTCAACAAAAATAACACCTACAACACAAGAAGATTAAATATTTTCAATATTCTCAATACTACATTTCCCTCCTGGTTAATGAGAGAGAATACATGTCTCACTCCAACCACTTTATTTTCGTCCCACTCACTTGGTCTCATAGGCAGGTTAGCCCATGGCCTTTGGTGACGTCACGGCCTACCTAAGGGCCAAGTGAGTAGGAAGAAAATGAACAAATTTGATCCTATAAATGAAGGGAAAATGATTCAGCCACACGGAGAGAGATTATCGTTGGGGTTTCTATAAATCTCAAATCTGCCGACTTACGTCATCTCTTTTGTAATTTAAACCGGGACGTCCGGGAGAAAAGGCCGGAAGCGATGAGTTCGCGTCCGGGTTTTGGAGCCTGACGTTAAGGGTTCATGACGTCATCGTTTCTAGAGGCGGAGCCCATCTCCTGGTCAAGAACAAGCTCGGCCCCCTTGCTTCTGCGCATGCGTGACAGTGTTTCTTCCCCAGGGCCCTTCACTGAGCGTTAGATCAGGTGCCAGTTAGAATGAATTATTTTTAATTAAGGCAAGAAAAAAAATCACTAAACAGGCAATTGTCACCGGTGCTTATTGTACTCTAACAACTTTCATATCTCTTTGCAATAGTACCAAAAAAAAAAAAAAAAAAATACAAACACCATGTAAATTTGCATTATTTCTAGTCGTAAACACTTTGTCCCGAAAAGAATCCGTTGGCTTCAGCTTCGTGTATATAAAGCTTATTACTTTCATAAAAACAAAACGTTTTATATGTTGTATATACCTTATAAAAAAGGAGTTATACTTTTAGATTATCCGTGAATAGTATTTTGACTGTAGGTCTTCAAAAATCGAGTATTTATCATATGATTGCATTCGGACACTGCTCGAAATCACTAATACCGCGCGAACAGCAAGGTGCGATGAAGGCATATTTCTTATTATCAAGAGTGAAAATGCCTTGCATGTAATCACTTGATGTATTTGGGTAATTGTATTGTTGTTGCTACGTGTTCATTGTAACAGACATTAAATGAATGCAGGCAGGGGAAAGTGAAAATATGTGGATAATAAATATAAAGAAATATTAATGACTGAATAGAGAGAGAGAGAGAGAGAGAGAGAGAGAGAGAGAGAGAGAGAGAGAGAGAGAGAGGAGAGAGAGAGAGAGAGAGAGAGAGAGAGAGAGAGAGAGAGAGAGAGAGAGAGAGAGAGAGAGAGAGAGAGAGAGAGAGAGAGAGAGAGAGAGAGAGAGAGAGAGAGACAGTCAAAAGACTTAATTCCATTATTTACAATGGTTCTTCTTTGTTCATATGCAGGACATTGTACAGTAATACAAACTAAATGAAGATAATTCGTAAGGGAATTATAAAATAAGATCAAATAAATTGGCCACATCATTAGAAATAAAGGTACATGGTTTGGCTTTTTATTTAATTATTAGATGCCATTGACAATTCAAAAGAAACTTCAATTTCCTTTTGAAAGTAATTAGATTGGAGATGTTTCTGTTTCCGTGTATAACCTCTTTATGAGTTAATATATCTGGTTTGAATGCCTGTTTTGTTACTAATTATTTGTAGGTGCATAAAGCAATGAGGATATTCACCCTATATGAATTTATGAATGGATATGCCTATGCCCTATTGACATTTTGATTGATCGTTTAAGCAGTTTCGTGTAGCGGTTGTATAGTTATATTTATTTCCGAGAGAGAGGGAGACAGAGGGGGGTTGTGCAGTCATGTTTATGAAAAAGGAACTTGGAGAGAGAGAGAGAGAAAGTAAGAGCGAGCGAGAAAGGGAGAGAGAGAGAGAGAGAGAGAGAGAGAGAGAGAGAGAGAGAGAGAGAGAGAGAGAGAGAGAGAGAGAGAGAGAGAGAGAGAGAGAGAGGGGGGG